TACGAAAACTGAATTTTATAGTCAGTAAGGTTACTAAACCTAAACGTAAGGCCTACTCATAGGAAAAGTTCACTTGTCGCCATGATTAATAGATTTAGTATCAGCACACTTAGTGCAAATATTATACTTGTTCGAATAGTTGCTTATTTATGAACATTATTCACTTTAAAACCTAAGGAATGCTCTTATTGCTTTTTAGCCTGATGAATGTTTTTTGTTTGGCTGTAAATTTAGGAGAGCATGAGATCCAAGCTTGAAATTTTTAGTGTTTTCTGAAAATTCTTTTGGTATTTCTATGTTTTATGCATATATTGCTCACATGAGATAGCTGTGTAATATATGAACTTGAAAGTTTATCTTGAAACACTATAATTAAACTAACTTAACAGTATTTTGCAACTCAATTGGAAGGCACATAATTACTTTCACGGCGTTAGTCAATACGACGTTATAGGATACACGGATTGTGAGGTGGTTTGATCAAAATTAGTAGAATAGCCACATTTGTAATAGAGTTTCTAGGCATATAAGACATGAAATTTATTCCACTGTCAATTTGTTATAAACAACATTTAACACTGATGAATCAATCAATTTGCATAATACAGATACAGAAGCGGTTAAGGATAGATAAGATGGATAGAAACATAAAGTAAAACTTAAAATCTTATGTAAAATGGTATTTCATGCAATCAAAGTGAGGCAGCCAATTAAAAAATAGCTGTGACTACTATCCAGTTGATTTTTGGCTGGACATAATTTATTGAGTAGAGGTGTCATTTCACTCGAATTAAGGCGTTATTTAGTCTTAAAATTGGCTCACTCCTCAGATTTATACTTTTATAAAGCTATTAAAAGTGTTAAGACGATGAAATTGCATTTTCGATTTTCATTTTTATATGCACCTGTTGATATGAATTCATTTTTCATACGAATTCGGTGATCTAAAAGGTACCAAAAATGATTGCGTGATTTTTTAAAATTAAGTTAACTCCAGCAGGCCTAATAATATTTGTAGGCACAAAAAAGATTAATGGTAATTAATTTTTTGGCTCCTTTTTATCTCATAGGAGAGATATACTTTTATAATTTCCCTCTAAAATGTAGTCAATCGGTAAAATATGGTTGAAGAGAAATTGTGAAATCGGGTAATATATATACCTGATAGGAAAAATAAACAAAACGAAGATTTCTTTATTTAAATCACCAATGTTATCACATCAAAGGGGGTTATCAGAAGCTTAATAATTATTAAGGCATTGTTTCTTATTAACTGATAATCATAGCAGTAGAAAGCCTCTTGCTAGTATTAACTGCCCAAAGCATCTAGGATTAATGGCTTCCTGCGAAAGAAGTATTCTTTACCGAGTGGAAAATAGTATAACTGTTAGAATGCATATATTTATTAGCTAACTACTAGTTAATTGGCCTCAGACAATCCATTTTTCTCCTAAATATAAAAACAATATCAAAGATTTTCTTTCCTTATTTATTACGAAAAACATAGATATATAGTTTTTGATTTTTAAAAGTAACTTAGCGTAAACTTTTTAATTAATATTTCTAGTATGATTTCTTACTAAACTCTCTTTCTTTTTTAATTATGACTAAATCATATAAGAGCTATTCAAAATCCACTTTTGTAGCTGTAAACGGGTAAATCTCGAATAGTGACCATAGTAAATACTTCTTTCATTATTAAAAATATAAAGCATACTTAACTTAAACGACTATTAGCTTCTATTTGGTTTTAAATTTTCAAGCCTTTCATCCAACTTTTATTTATACGCTTTGCAAATTTTGTTATCTCAGGTTAAATGGGTCTTATGAAGCAATGAACACTGGACTTGTTGGGGATGCTATGGATGACCTAGTTGGTGGGCTAACCGAATCCTATACTCTCGGACCGTCAGTTGGCGTCGCAGGCTCAGGAAACAGGCATGGTTCAGAGAGAAATTTGGCGGATAATGAACTTACTGATGGCGTTCGAGCACCAGGAGATCTGGATGATATTTTAATTAAGTCTTTCGACCGTAGAAGTCCAATTACTGCACGAATTAAGGTAAAGGTGGAATGCTTTTCAAATGTCTCCACATCAAGTTATAACTCAGTTTGCAGGCTGGTCAAATTTTCATTAAAAAAGCACATTCATTGCAACTGAATTGATCATTAAAAAGATTTTCTAGTCTTAGTGCGATAATTATGAAGGCAACCAGTTGACAATGAAAGACAATAAGCAATTAAGTCGAAAGTAGTTTCCTGTCTAAAATAACTTCAATAATTATTTCTTAAGCATTTCTGATTCTATATAATTTATTACACTTTCAAATTGTTATAAACAAGATTTAACACTGATAAATGAATCAATTTGCATAACTCAGATACAGAAGTGGTTAAAGATAGATAAGTAAACCGTAAGAAAACTGAATATTTATTCCGATATTATTTAGTAGCATATATTAATTTGCGTTCTCTAACACTTCAAAGTGCTAAACGATAGTATCGAAAGTCTACATTCAATATCTGTTTTTTCGATCTCTGCACTAAATAAAATGTTTTGTTCCTAAACAAGTTCTGCTTGCATCTTCAACTTCTTCATACTTATTATTCTCAATAGGCCTAAACAATGATAAGCTTAATGCCTCTTTTAAATTGTAGGTTTGCCTTCAAAAGTTAGCTTAAATTAGGATGTACTATTAAAGTATATTTAGCGAGTTCTATCCAGAATTTTGCAACTACAGACTAATTTATTACACAATAACATTAATAGAATGTAAAGTGGAGTTGAATTCTCTTAAATACCTTTATAGATATGCAAACTTTAGGTTTAAATTAAAGAATTATTGACAAATGTGCATCCCTTGCTTTTAAAATAATTATGTGTAGTTGAAAGCACAGATCAAAAAATGTATCATTACCTTCAAAATTAATTCTTTGGGGATATAGGGCTTCGGTGAATTGCCAACTTTCATTTTTTCATAATATGAAGCACAAAGTTTGAGTAGGGTATTATGTAGTGAATATTTATAAGATGTTTTCTGTTAAAAACAAAGGGAATTTTTTTATCGTAGCTCTGCACCTGACAGAAAATTCTTTCATTTAGCATCAATGTAGTGGTTAAAGAATATTGCCTTATATTGGAACTAGATTGATTTTGTTACTTTTAGCCTTGTACCTTGGATTTCATCTTGAATATTTAACCATTTTTAGAGTGCGATTTAAAAAGTTGTGTCATGTCAACTTCTCGGCAACATTATAAGTTACATTTGGCAAAACCCCTACATTTTTAATTATAAATAATCCATGCAACTTCAGCTTCCTGCAAATGCTTGTTTGAATATAACCTTAATTTGTAACGATTGATGCTTCTTTATGCAATTCACTGAAAGTTCTCTGAACTTTGCCAAAACCATTGCCATCTAAGCCTTCATTTCTTATCTACTAGAGGCGCCAGCATATTAAGGGTCATTAATCCTCATAACTTGTTTAAGCAGAAATGGAATGCACAAATTCTTGTGAGAAAATGTGTAATCTGAGTTTTTAACCACCATAACATAATTCACTAAACGGATTGTCTCTATCTTTTACGGTTTCCTTGCACTAAAATAGGCAATCGAATATTTAACTTAACTTTGTTAAATGAAAATATTCAACTCTATTGCAGACAACACAAGTTTTATTAATAATCAACAAATGTGACCAAATATTGATGTAGGCAGAAGGCAACTGTTTAATCTCTTTTTTTTCAATATGATTTTGAGTGTGCTATTCTCAGACCGACCAGGCATATTTTTTAAATACTAGCTGAAACAGAAGCATGTTCCTTGCTTTAGCCTATTGAGTGTTGCTAGCCTGCTTAACATTAATAAATCAACTATTTGGCAGCATTAATCTCAGGATGTATGCAAAAAATTTCTTAAAATGGCATATGTACCAATTCATAGGAAACAGTCTTCTAGTTATGGATAAAAGAATTCTACTCGAGTTATATGGCAGAATAAAAATAAAAATTCAATACAAATCAAAATTTAGCCTTTACTATTAAATGCTTTATAATGCTTTACAGGACTATTTGTCACCTTAGGTGTTTAAGTAAACACAGGGTGGGTCAATGAATCTCCCATAATAAATTGAATATAAGGCCTCATAATGCCCGTGAATTTCACTTAGCTTTGCAGCTTTTAAAGATAATTTATCTAGACTTAACCATAATTTTCATCTTTCCTTGGTTTCATCAGAGTGATTAGAAATGAGGATGTGTGAATCAAACGGAAATGCCACCACTACATCCCACAGTCAAGGAAGATATGGCTTTCAAAGCAAACTAGGCTCCTTTTAGCATGTATTTATACTGCAACTGATGTACCTATCGGTAGTCAGTATAAGTGATTTGAGCTGAATCAAATTTTTTTTTATTGCATGGACTATACCTTTGGTTATAATATTATTTTAAATAGAAGAAAAAACTCTCCTATTTTTAGTGATCAGTTAATTTATAAGTATTCAATCTTGTTTCTAAGTAGGCTAGTTTTTCTTTAATATTTAGGATATGAGTAAATAAAGGTATATTCCACTTAATAAAAAGCATTTTATTCAAATAAGATGTCATTTGTTGGCTCCCGATACATAATCCAAGATGCCAATATAATACAAACAAGCCTATAACTCTCCTTAACGTTGCTGAAATTCGCATACAAATTTATATTTAGGAATTCAAGATAAAGAATTATGGGATAATTTAGGGTGTAGTCTCAGCTTAGTGAGTTAAAAGAATCGATAAGAACTAATGCGTTTCTGATACCATGTATTTGTATATTGTTTTTATGTCATATATTATGCTTAAATATATGTTCACTTATACCGCAATGACATTTTTGGGCAATAATTTCTCCATGAATGCTCTTCCCATTATCTAGATAAATCTATACTTTTACTAAACTATACAATTAATTCAAGCTCTACCAAAGGCCGATAATTTTGCTAATTTGAATATTTGGTTTATTTAAAAATATAAATATTTTTAAGCTAAAATTCTGTTACACCCTTATCTGTGAAATGGAGTGTCCCCTTTAAATGTGGGTATTTAAAATAATAATAATACTTAAACTAAATCAACTACAGGAAAGTGATCTTAAAAACTTTAAATAGAGCACGCATATTAATGGTTATTTAAGCCATAACCTCATTTAAGGTGATGAAGGGGTGGTAGTTGAATTTATCCACAATGATATGAATAGAGCTGACGGCTCCATTAAATTTAATATGGTCTTATTTTCCCAAAAGAACGGACTGCAGTTTCGACCTCGCATAGGTCTTATCAAAACCCTCAGCGGGAGTCGAGCAATGATTGTGTGGCGAGTAATCTCGACATGCTACCCACTACGCACATTGCTACGAGATCTCTTGAGCTGCAGAGCAGATATGAAGACACTTCCTTTAAATTCACACCTGCCTCGTCGCACAAGGGCACTCGTGGCAATGTGTCTGAGTGGTTAACATGTCAAGCTCACATTCTGCGCTGTCATGGTTCGAATCCCGCTGGGAGTGTGGATAAGACCGATGCGAGGTCGAAACTGCAGTCCACTTCCGCCCGGATGAGAACAACTTTTAGGAAAGTAAGGTTATATGAAATTCAATGGAAAATTCAGCTCTACTCATATCATTGTTGAAAAATTCTACTACCAGTCCTTCATCACCTTATGCGAAATAGAGTGAATACATCTCATCTAAATTTATTGATTGCTATTATTTTATGATTGCTCTAACTCATTCAATCAATGTTCTCTTTTATTATGATAAAATCACTTTATTATTAATGACCTATGTTTGTAGGCATAAAATATTTCTGAATATAAACAAATTTAATATTAACTGGAGGTTAAATATTTCAAATCTTGTACAAGATTAAATTAACTCTCAAGTGGACTTATTCAGATGCTAAATTAGTAATTAATATAGGTTATGTATCCATGGATATGTAGATATGTCATTATCAGACAACTAGACAGACAATACTGAGGACCGGTGCGGAGACAGAATTGTGTGAAAAGCGATGATACAGAGGCTGTATATATATGGAGCCCATGCATAGCTATGCCATTATAATATAGATGGAGTTTGTATGCATCAACGTGATGCGAATAGAGGGAGGGAATAGACGAAAGTAATAGGAGCCCGGAAACAGAAACAATATGCTGAGGTAGGCGATGCTGGAGAGATGTCACGATGGGATGCTGAAAAGGGGCACAATATCATCTTTTTGTTCTGATACGCCTTAAATAATTTTTTGCAAAGGATTCATAATTTGTTAGCATACTGCTCATATCTACAAAAGTATGAATTATTTAGGCGTTAATAATGTACCATTGAACTAAGAACAACTCTACGAGTTTGCAACTTGGTGTCATTTCTGCTTATATCTTGCATACCGCAACAGGCCATAATTAAAATATTTATCTTAATGAGGCACTCCCTGACAACATTTTACTGACATTAAACCCTTGTTCTGAGATTCGATGAGTTTTGAGATACATTGTTTTGGAGAAACACACTCACAAATAGTTTGCATTCGCTCTGCTCTTTGATCTTATATTAATACTAGATACCTGGGAAGAAGGTTTAGTATAAAAAATTGGAAAATTTCTATATTACTAAATTTTCTATACTAAAGAGACAATACATCTAACTATTGTTATTAGGCACAGGAAACCTTATGAAAACTACGTTTACAGTAATTTTAAGTATTTTCAGAGGCATCTATTTTCGATTCCTAGAAAATCGGACCTACTATTATTCTGAGTGGATTGGAATTTAATGGAACACTGCAACAGTTTATTTTACTTTGAAATATTTCTTAACTGCATTATCTCACAATGATTGAAATAATCAACATTAGTCAACTACGAACTAGGAGA